AAATTTAGTTAAGTATGGAAAAGTGATTTTCTTGTCAATTTCGACCAAATATTCGGATTTGATCCGATAGTTAAATTATGAATACAAATAGACTAGTTCAAATCATCATGTATATTTTAAATCTCAAAACTAATTTCGAATGAATGAGAAATTGCGGTCCAAAGTGGATAAAAAAGAGGAAATATGGGCTGAAAAAATGGCTAACTCCATAGCTCGAGCGATGAGACTGTCGCTCTGGTGACAAGCGAGCGAGAGAGGTTCTCATGAATAAATGTCACTATCGCTCTAGCGATAGGCCAGTGACAGCAAGTGACGCTTCCTTTCGTGAAGGTTGCTGAGTTTGGGGTGTAACACTACACTCACAACCCCTCATCTTCTATAAATAAGACCCTTTGGACGTCCATTATGCATCCTATATTATTTTGCATTGAGCATTACATCAAAAACTCTTGCAAAATACTCTCCAAAAATCATTCCAAAAACCATTTTCTTGTAGAGGGAAATTTTCATTCAAAGTTCGTTGTTGCTTATGATTTCAAGTGCTTCTACTACAAATTGTATCCGTTATATCTTGGGAGACAATTGCCTTAGACTGTTAGCACCGCTACGGGGCAATATTGTCTTAAGGAGATAGTGTTTTCACTTGTCTCGAATTTCGTTCTTCACTTTATTTCCTTTTGCTTACCTTCTTTCTTTCCATNAAATTTAGTTAAGTATGGAAAAGTGATTTTCTTGTCAATTTCGACCAAATATTCGGATTTGATCCGATAGTTAAATTATGAATACAAATAGACTAGTTCAAATCATCATGTATATTTTAAATCTCAAAACCAATTTCGAATGAATGAGAAATTGCGGTCCAAAGTGGATAAAAAAGAGGAAATATGGGCTGAAAAAATGGCTAACTCCATAGCTCGAGCGATGAGACTGTCGCTCTGGTAACAAGCGAGCGAGAGAGGTTCTCATGAATAAATGTCACTATCGCTCTAGCGATAGGCCAGTGACAGCAAGTGACGTTTCCTTTCGTGAAGGTTGCTGAGTTTGGGGTGTAACACTTCACTCACAACCCCTCATCTTCTATAAATAAGACCCTTTGGACGTCCATTATGCATCCTATATTATTTTGCATTGAGCATTACATCAAAAACTCTTGCAAAATACTCTCCAAAAGTCATTCCAAAAACCATTTTCTTGTAGAGGGAAATTTTCATTCAAAGTTCGTTGTTGCTTATGATTTCAAGTGCTTCTACTACAAATTTTATCCGTTATATCTTGGGAGACAATTGCCTTAGACTGTTAGCACCGCTACGGGGCAATATTGTCTTAAGGAGATAATGTTTTCACTTGTCTCGAATTTCGTTCTTCACTTTATTTCATTTTGCTTACCTTCTTTCTTTCCAT